TCTCTGTGTATCTCTCTGTCTCTGCCTGTATCTCTGTGTATATCTCTGTCTCTGTCTGTGTCTCTGTGTCTTCCTCTGTGTCTCTGTGTGTGTGTCCCTCTCTCTGTCTCTCTGTCTCTATCTGTGTCTCTCTGTGTCTCCCTCTGTCTGTCTATCTGTGTCTCTGTGTGTCTCTCTGTCTCTGTCTGTGTCTCTCTCTCGCTGTGTGTCTGTGTGTCTCTCTGTCTCTCTCTCTGTGTGTCTCTGTGTATCTCTCTGTCTCTGTCTGTGTCTCTGTGTGTCTCTCTGTCTCTGTCTGTGTGTGTCTCTCTCTCTGTGTCTCTCTGTCTCCATCTGTGTGTCTCTCTGTGTCTCTGTGTGTCTCTCTGTCTCTATCTGTGTGTGTGTCTCTCTCTGTCTCTGTGTCTCTCTGTCTCTCTCTGTGTCTCTCTCTATCTGTGTGTCTCTCTATCTCTGTGTGTCTCTCTCTATCTGTGTGTCTCTCTGTGTGTTTCTCTGTCTCTATCTGTGTGTGTCTCTGTCTAGCTGTGTGTCTCTCTGTGTTTCTGTGTGTCTCTCTGTCTGTCTGCGTGTCTGTGTGTCTCTCTCTATCTGTGTGTCTCTCTCTGTCTCTGTGTGTTTCTGTCTGTCTCTCTCTGTGTGTCTCTCTCTCTATATTTGTGTCTCTCTGTGTCTCTGTGTGTCTCTCTGTCTCTATCTGTGTGTCTCTCTCTCTGTGTCTCTCTGTCTCTCTCTCTGTGTCTCTCTGTCTCTATCTGTGTTTCTCTGTCTCTCTGTGTCTCTGTATGTCTCTCTCTCTATCTGTGTGTCTCTCTCTATCTGTGTGTCTCTGTGTGTCTCTCTGTCTCTCTGTGTCTCTGTGTGTCTCTATCTGTGTGTCTCTCTGTGTCTCTGTGTGTCTCTCTGTCTCTATCTGTGTGTGCCTCTCTCTATATTTGTGTCTCTCTGGGTCTCTGTGTGTCTCTCTGTCTCTCTGTGTCTCTGTGTGTCTTTCTCTATCTGTGTCTTTCTGTGTCTCTCTGTCTCTATCTGTGTGTTTATCTGTCTCTCTGTGTCTCTGTCTGTCTCTCTGTCTCTCTCTGTGTGTCTCTCCATCTGTGTGTCTCTTTGTGTCTCTGTGTGTCTCTCTGTCTCTCTGTGTCTCTGTGTCTCTCTCTCAGTGTGTCTCTCTGTGTCTCTGTGTGTCTCTCTATCTGTGTGTCTCTCTGTGTCTCTCTGTGTCTCTGTGTGTCTCTGCCTGTCTCTCTCTGTCTCTATCTGTGTCTCTCTCTCTATCTGTGTGTCTCTCTGTGTCTCTGTGTGTATCTCTATCTGTGTGTCTCTCTGTGTCTCTGTCTGTCTCTCTGTCTCTCTGTGTCTCTGTGTCTCTCTGTGTGTCTCTCTCTGTGTCTCTCTGTGTCTCTGTGTGTCTCTGTCTGTCTCTCCGTGTCTCTGTGTGTCTCTCTGTCTCTCTGTGTCTCTCTGTGTCTCTGTCTGTCTCTCTGTCTCTCTGTGTCTCTCTCTCTATGTGTGTCTGTGTCTAACTGTCTCTCTGTGTCTCTGTGTCTCTCTGTCTCTCTGTGTGTCTCTCTGTGTGTCTCTCTCTGTCTCTGTCTGTGTGTCTCTCTCTCTGTGTCTCTGTGTGTCCCTCTATCTGTGTCTCTCTCTGTGTGTCTCTCTGTGTCTCTGTGTGTCTCTCTGTGTGTGTCTCTCTGTGTCTCTGTGTGTCTCTCTATCTGTGTCTCTATCTGTGTGTCTCTCTGTGTTTCTGTGTCTCTCTCTGTGTGTCTCTCTGTGTATCTGGGTGTCTCTCTGTCTCTCTGTGTCTCTGTGTGTCTCTCTGTGTCTCTGTGTCTCTCTGTCTCTCTGTGTGTCTCTCTTTGTCTCTCTGTGTCTCTCTCTATCTGTGTGTCTCTATATCTGTGTGTCTCTCTGTGTGTCTCTCTGTGTCTCTCTGTGTCTCTCTCTATCTGTGTGTCTTTCTATCTGTGTCTCTCTCTGTGTGTCTCTCTGTGTCTCTCTGTGTCTCTCTCTATCTGTGTGTCTCTCTGTGTCTCTTTGTGTCTCTCTGTGTCTCTCTCTATCTGTGTGTCTCTCTGTGTCTCTGTGTGTCTCTCTGTGTCTCTCTCTATCTGTGTGTCTCTCTATCTGTGTGTCTCTCTGTGTGTCTCTCTGTGTCTCTCTCTATCTGTGTGTCTCTCTGTGTCTCTGTGTGTCTCTCTGTGTGTCTCTCTGTGTCTCTGTGTGTCTCTCTCTGTGTCTCTGTGTGTCTCTGTGTGTCTCTCTGTGTGTCTCTCTGTGTCTCTGTGTGTCTCTCTGTGTCTCTGTGTGTCTCTCTATCTGTGTCTCTATCTGTGTGTCTCTCTCTCTCTCTGTGTCTCTCTGTGTCTCTCTGTGTCTCTCTCTATCTGTGTGTCTCTCTGTCTCCCTCCACACTCTGTGTGTCTCTCTGTGTGTGTCTCTGTCTGTCTCTCTCTCTGTGTCTCTCTCTCTCTATGTGTGTCTGTGTCTTTCTGTGTCTCTGTGTGTCTCTCTATCTGTGTGTCTCTCTGTGTCTCTCTGTGTCTCTCTCTATCTGTGTGTCTCTCTCTGTCTCTGTGTGTCTCTCTGTCTCTCTGTGTTTCTCTCTGTCTCTCTGTGTCTCTGTGTGTCTCTCTGTGTGTCTCTCTCTGTGTGTCTCTGTCTGTCTCTCTCTCTCTGTGTCTCTCTCTCTGTGTGTCTGTGTCTCTCTGTGTCTCTGTGTGTCTCTCTGTCTCTCTGTGTCTCTGTGTGTCTCTCTGTCTCTCTGTGTCTCTCTCTATCTGTGTGTCTCTCTGTGTGTCTCTCTGTGTCTCTGTGTGTTTCTCTCTGTGTCTCTGTGTGTCTCTCTGTGTCTCTGTGTGTCTCTCTGTGTCTCTGTGTCTCTCTCTGTGTGTCTCTCTGTGTGTTTGTGTGTCTCTCTGTGTGTCTCTCTGTGTCTCTGTCTGTCTCTCTTGCCCCCTCTCTCCTGCCCCCCCCCGCCCCCACCTCTCGACCTCTTCACCGCTACCTTCGCGACGCGCACACAAGGTGGTCCACTGCTCGCGGATCGCCACTCTCCTGCGGTGAGCAAGGTTCGTGGTCCATCTCGTGAGGTTACAACATTCGATGGGCAGCATCAGCATCATCATCACCATCATCAGCAGCAGCATAATCACCATCATCATCATCAGCAGCAGCAGCATCATCATCACCATCATCATCACCATCAGCATCATCAGCAGCAGCATCATCATCAGCAGCAGCATCACCATCAGCAACAGCACCATCATCATCACCATCATCAGCAGCAGCAGCATCATCACCATCAGCATCATCATCACCATCATCCTCACCATCAGCAGCAGCATCAGCATCATCATCACCATCATCTTCTTCATAAGCAGCAGCATCACCATCATCATCACCATCAGCAGCAGTATCATCATCATCATTCGCGTGTGTGTCTGTGTGTCTGTGTGTGTGTCTGTATGTGTGTCTGTGTGTGTGTGTGTCTGTGTGTGTCTGTGTGTGCGTCTGTGTGTCTGTGTGTTTGTATGTCTATGTGTGTGGCTGTGTGTCTGTGTGTGTGTGGCTGTATGTGTCTGTGTGTGTCTGTGGGTGTCTGTGTGTGCGTCTGTGTGTCTGTGTGTGTTTGTGTGTCTATGTGTGTGGCTGTGTGTCTGTGTGTGTGTGTGGCTGTATGTGTCTGTGTGTGTGTGTGTGTCTGTGTGTCTGTGTGTGTCTGTGTGTGCGTCTGTGTGTCTGTGTGTGTTTGTGTGTCTATGTGCGTGGCTGTGTGTCTGTGTGTGTGTGGCAGTATGTGTCTGTGTGTGTGTCTGTGTGTGTGTCTGTGTGTCTGTGTGTGTGTGTCTGTGTGTGTATGTGTGTGTGTCTGTGTGTGTCTGTGTGTGTGTCTGTGTGTGTGTGTCTGTGTCTGTGTGTGGCTGTGTGTGGCTGCGTGTGTCTATGTGTCTGTGTGTGTCTGTGTGTGTGTGTATCGTGTGGGGAGCGGTGGGTGTAGTGGTTAGCGCTACGCTGCGCTATGAACCCGGCGACCCGAGTTCGATTCCCGCTCACGCCCACCAACACCACCCAGTGACGATTATCTGAACCGGTCCTGGGCCTCCCCTAGGTCGACTCAGCCTCAACTGAGTAGCTGGTGTAGCGGAGTGCAGTGACCATCGCCACTGGGAGAGACAAAGGCGGCCGGGCGTGGTGCTGGTCACCCACCCCCTCTGTGTGTGCCACAGTGCCGGTAGCCTTCATAGGTTGCTGCTGCTACTCGCTATTAACAGCACTTGCCCCTGCAGTCTGTGAGAGGCTACACGGGGGATCTTTGTCTGTGTCTGTGTGTGAGGTGCTAGCTAACAGCACTTGCCCCTGCAGCCTGTTAGAGGCTACACGGGGGATCTTTGTCTTTGGTATCTGTGTGTGTCACACAGACACACCCTTCATAAGTGCCGCTCGCTAACAGCACTTGCCCCGACAGCCTGCTGAGGCTACACGGGGGATCTTTGTCCGTGTCTTTTTCACAGACACACCCTTCATAAGTGGTGCTCGCGAACAGCACTTGCCCCTGCAGTCTGTTAGAGGCTACACGGGGGATCTTTGTCTGTGTCTGTGTGTGAGGTGCTAGCTAACAGCACTTGCCCCTGCAGCCTGTTAGAGGCTACACGGGGGATCTTTGTCTGTGTCTGTGTGTGAGGTGCTAGCTAACATCACTTGCCCCTGCAGTCTTTTAGAGGCTACACGGGGGATCTTTGTCTGTGTCTGTGTGTGAGGTGCCAGCTAACAGCACTTGCCCCTGCAGTCTGTTAGAGGCTACACGGGGGATCTTTGTCTGTGTCTTTGTCGACTCAGCCTCGAACGAGAACCCTTTTCGGCGTGTAGTCAGGGGAGAGAGAGAGAGAGAGGCGGGGGTCTTAACGCCGAGGAATCGCACGAGTTACATGAACGTCGTTGTGATGGCGGTGATGTCGGCGATGGTGATGATGGTGCTGGTGGTGGTGATGGTGGTGGTGATGGTGGTGGTGATGGTGGTGATGCCGCTGACTCCGCTGGCCACGGCAGCCGTCTCTGCACGACAGGTGAGTTCACGCCGAGCTGGTGAATCAGGAGTGAGTTCACGCCGAGCTGGTGAATCAGGAGTGAGTTCACGCCGGGCTGGTGAATCAGGAGTGAGTTCACGCCGGGCTGGTGAATCAGGAGTGAGTTCACTCCGGGCTGGTGAACCAGGAGTGAGTTCACACCGGGCTGGTGAACCAGGAGTGAGTTCACTCCGGGCTGGTGAATCAGGAGTGAGTTCACTCCGGGCTGGTGAATCAGGAGTGAGTTCACGCCGAGCTGGTGAATCAGGAGTGAGTTCACGCCGGGCTGGTGAACCAGGAGTGAGTTCACACCGAGCTGGTGAATCAGGAGTGAGTTCACGCCGAGCTGGTGAATCAGGAGTGAGTTCACGCCGGGCTGGTGAATCAGGAGTGAGTTCACGCCGAGCTGGTGAACCAGGAGTGAGTTCACTCCGGGCTGGTGAACCAGGAGTGAGTTCACTCCGGGCTGGTGAACCAGGAGTGAGTTCACTCCGGGCTGGTGAATCAGGAGTGAGTTCACTCCGGGCTGGTGAATCAGGAGTGAGTTCACACCGGGCTGGTGAATCAGGAGTGAGTTCACACCGGGCTGGTGAATCAGGAGTGAGTTCACTCCGGGCTGGTGAATCAGGAGTGAGTTCACTCCGGGCTGGTGAATCAGGAGTGAGTTCACTCCGGGCTGGTGAACCAGGAGTGAGTTCACTCCGGGCTGGTGAATCAGGAGTGAGTTCACTCCGGGCTGGTGAATCAGGAGTGAGTTCACTCCGGGCTGGTGAATCAGGAGTGAGTTCACACCGGGCTGGTGAATCAGGAGTGAGTTCACTCCGGGCTGGTGAACCAGGAGTGAGTTCACACCGGGCTGGTGAATCAGGAGTGAGTTCACTCCGGGCTGGTGAATCAGGAGTGAGTTCACACCGGGCTGGTGAATCAGGAGTGAGTTCACGCCGGGCAGGTGAATCAGGAGTGAGTTCACACCGGGCTGGTGAGCCCGGAGTGAGTTCACACCGGGCTGGTGAACCAGGAGTGAGTTCACACCGGGCTGGTGAACCAGGAGTGAGTTCACACCGGGCTGGTGAATCAGGAGTGAGTTCACGCCGGGCTGGTTGAACTCGGAGTGAACTCACACCGGGTTGGTGAATCAGGAGTGAGTTCACGCCGGGCTGGTGAACCAGGAGTGAGTTCACACCGGGCTGGTGAATCAGGAGTGAGTTCACTCCGGGCTGGTGAATCAGGAGTGAGTTCACGCCGAGCTGGTGAATCAGGAGTGAGTTCACACCGGGCTGGTGAATCAGGAGTGAGTTCACTCCGGGCAGGTGAACCAGGAGTGAGTTCACACCGGGCTGGTGAATCAGGAGTGAGTTCACTCCGGGCTGGTGAATCAGGAGTGAGTTCACGCCGAGCTGGTGAATCAGGAGTGAGTTCACTCCGGGCTGGTGAACCAGGAGTGAGTTCACACCGGGCTGGTGAACCAGGAGTGAGTTCACACCGGGCTGGTGAACCAGGAGTGAGTTCACACCGGGCAGGTGAACCAGGAGTGAGTTCACACCGGGCTGGTGAATCAGGAGTGAGTTCACGCCGGGTTGGTGAACCAGGAGTGAGTTCACACCGGGCTGGTGAATCAGGAGTGAGTTCACACCGGGCTGGTGAATCAGGAGTGAGTTCACACCGAGCTGGTGAACCAGGAGTGAGTTCACTCCGGGCTGGTGAACCAGGAGTGAGTTCACACCGGGCTGGTGAACCAGGAGTGAGTTCACACCGGGCTGGTGAATCAGGAGTGAGTTCACACCGGGCTGGTGAATCAGGAGTGAGTTCACTCCGGGCTGGTGAATCAGGAGTGAGTTCACACCGGGCTGGTGAACCAGGAGTGAGTTCACGCCGAGCTGGTGAACCAGGAGTGAGTTCACGCCGGGCTGGTGAATCAGGAGTGAGTTCACTCCGGGCTGGTGAATCAGGAGTGAGTTCACTCCGGGCTGGTGAACCAGGAGTGAGTTCACTCCGGGCTGGTGAATCAGGAGTGAGTTCACACCGGGCTGGTGAACCAGGAGTTAGTTCACACCGGGCTGGTGAACCAGGAGTGAGTTCACGCCGGGCTGGTGAACCAGGAGTTAGTTCACACCGGGCTGGTGAATCAGAAGTGAGTTCACGCCGGGCTGGTGAACCAGGAGTGAGTTCACGCCGGGCTGGTGAACCAGGAGTGAGTTCACTCCGGGCTGGTGAACCAGGAGTGAGTTCACTCCGGGCTGGTGAACCAGGAGTGAGTTCACTCCGGGCTGGTGAACCAGGAGTGAGTTCACTCCCGGGCTGGTGAACCAGGAGTGAGTTCACGCCGGGCTGGTGAACCAGGAGTGAGTTCACTCCGGGCTGGTGAATCAGGAGTGAGTTCACTCCGGGCTGGTGAACCAGGAGTGAGTTCACACCGGGCTGGTGAATCAGGAGTGAGTTCACTCCGGGCTGGTGAATCAGGAGTGAGTTCACACCGGGCTGGTGAATCAGGAGTGAGTTCACGCCGGGCAGGTGAATCAGGAGTGAGTTCACACCGGGCTGGTGAACCAGGAGTGAGTTCACACCGGGCTGGTGAACCAGGAGTGAGTTCACACCGGGCTGGTGAATCAGGAGTGAGTTCACACCGGGCTGGTGAGCCCGGAGTGAGTTCACACCGGGCTGGTGAACCAGGAGTGAGTTCACACCGGGCTGGTGAACCAGGAGTGAGTTCACACCGGGCTGGTGAATCAGGAGTGAGTTCACGCCGGGCTGGTTGAACTCGGAGTGAACTCACACCGGGTTGGTGAATCAGGAGTGAGTTCACGCCGGGCTGGTGAACCAGGAGTGAGTTCACACCGGGCTGGTGAATCAGGAGTGAGTTCACTCCGGGCTGGTGAATCAGGAGTGAGTTCACGCCGAGCTGGTGAATCAGGAGTGAGTTCACACCGGGCTGGTGAATCAGGAGTGAGTTCACTCCGGGCTGGTGAACCAGGAGTGAGTTCACACCGGGCTGGTGAATCAGGAGTGAGTTCACTCCGGGTTGGTGAACCAGGAGTGAGTTCACGCCGGGCTGGTGAATCAGGAGTGAGTTCACTGCGGGCTGGTGAACCAGGAGTGAGTTCACACCGGGCTGGTGAATCAGGAGTGAGCTCACTCCGGGATGGTTGAACCTGGAGTGAGTTCACACCGGGCTGGTGAACCAGGAGTGAGTTCACACCGGGCTGGTGAACCAGGAGTGAGTTCACACCGGGCTGGTGAATCAGGAGTGAGTTCACTCCGGGCTGGTGAACCAGGAGTGAGTTCACTCCGGGCTGGTGAACCAGGAGTGAGTTCACTCCGGGCTGGTGAACCAGGAGTGAGTTCACTCCGGGCTGGTGAACCAGGAGTGAGTTCACTCCGGGCTGGTGAACCAGGAGTGAGTTCACACCGGGCTGGTGAATCAGGAGTGAGTTCACTCCGGGCTGGTGAACCAGGAGTGAGTTCACACCGGGCTGGTGAACCAGGAGTGAGTTCACACCGGGCTGGTGAATCAGGAGTGAGTTCACGCCGGGCTGGTTGAACTCGGAGTGAACTCACACCGGGCTGGTGAACCAGGAGTGAGTTCACACCGGGCTGGTGAATCAGGAGTGAGTTCACACCGAGCTGGTGAATCAGGAGTGAGTTCACTCCGGGCTGGTGAATCAGGAGTGAGTTCACGCCGGGCTGGTGAACCAGGAATGAGTTCACACCGGGCTGGTGAATCAGGAGTGAGTTCACTCCGGGCTGGTGAATCAGGAGTGAGTTCACGCCGGGCTGGTGAATCAGAAGTGAGTTCACGCCGAGCTGGTGAATCAGGAGTGAGTTCACTCCGGGCTGGTGAATCAGGAGTGAGTTCACGCCGGGCTGGTGAATCAGGAGTGAGTTCACGCCGGGCTGGTGAACCAGGAATGAGTTCACACCGGGCTGGTGAATCAGGAGTGAGTTCACTCCGGGCTGGTGAATCAGGAGTGAGTTCACGCCGGGCTGGTGAATCAGAAGTGAGTTCACGCCGAGCTGGTGAATCAGGAGTGAGTTCACTCCGGGCTGGTGAATCAGGAGTGAGTTCACTCCGGGCTGGTGAATCAGGAGTGAGTTCACACCGGGCTGGTGAATCAGGAGTGAGTTCACTCCGGGCTGGTGAATCAGGAGTGAGTTCACGCGCCACGGTCGTGAGATGTTGACTACCTCGCCTGGTGTACAGGAGGTCGTGGGTTCAATCCCGACCCTGACGATGCCTGCTGCTGTAGATTTGGAGTCTGCGTCTCTCTCTCTCATCATCATCATCACGGTGACTAGGAGATGTTGACTACCTCGCCTGGTGTGCAGGAGGTCGTGGATTCGATCCTGCCACTGACGATGCCTGCTGCTGCTGTATATTTGGAGTCTGCGTCTCTCTCATCATCATCACGGTGGCTAGGAGATGTTGACTACCTCGCCTGGTGTGGTCGTGGGTTCAATCCCGACCCTGACGATGCCTGCTGCTGCTGCTGTAGATTTGGAGTCTGCGTCTATCTCTCTCTCTCTCATCATCATCATCACGGTGGCTGAGATGTTGACTACCTCGCCTGGTGTACAGGAGTTCGTGGGTTCGATCCTGCCACTGACGATGCCTGCTGCTGCTGCTGTAGATTTGGAGTCTGCGTCTCTCTCTCATCATCATCATCACGGTGTCCATGAGATGTTGACTACCTCGCCTGGTGTACAGGAGGTTGTGGGTTCGATCCTGCCACTGACGATGCCTGCTGCTGTATATTCGGAGTCTGCGTCTCTCTCTCTCATCATCATCATCACGGTGGCTATGAGATGTTGACTACCTCGCCTGGTACACAGGAGGTCGTGGGTTCAATCCCGACCCTGACGATGCCTGCTGCTGCTGCTGTAGATTTGGAGTCTGCGTCTCGCTCTCTCATCATCATCATCATGGTGTCCGTGAGATGTTGACTACCTCGCCTGGTCTACAGGAGGTCGTGGGTTCGATCCTGCCACTGACGATGCCTGCTGCT